CTATAGCGAAAACCTCTCCAAAAATAAAATAAAATAAAATAAAATAAAAGCTTCAGGGACCTTTGTCAGGCAAATGAAATTTGGCTTTCAGTGCACAAAAGCTTTGCTGAAGGATAGTTTGTGTAAACTGTCCAAGTCCTTGGGCAGGTCATTTCGCCTCTAGTCTCAGTTTCCTCAATAGGGAAAATGGGATTCTCAAGCCCCTGCCTCTGATCTGTGGAACCCAATAATAAGGCACAGCAGCAGTGCAGTAGCCAATTGCCCTGAGTCAGAGTGGGCGAAGGGTCTGCACTCACTCCTCCTGGGGGTTCTAGGGACTGTGGGGTCCCAGGAGGGGTCAAGGCTCTGCTTGGGGATTGGCCTGGCCAGAGGATGGGTCTTTATTCTTACTGCCCACCATCCCCATGGTCGATGACAGACAGCCGTCCACTGTCCCTCCTCCTAAGGTGGTTGCTGAATCTCTTCCACAACCAGATCGAGTCTGCGTTCCGAAGGGTGCTGGAGAGCAAGGTAAGGAGGCATCCCGGAGCTGGGTGAGGCCTGGTGGAGTCCTGCTGGCCCTGGACAGGATTCAGAGGTGGACTTGGACATACTTGGGCCCATGCCAGAGATGACAAATCATTGCCCAGGTCACGGGGCTGGTGTGTAGCAAAGCCAGGGGCAAAGCTCAGGTCTCCGGGGTCCAGGGCCCATGTTAGGCAGCACACAGGTATGCGCTTGGACACTGGCCAAACAGCAGGGCCGCACACACTCCAGCCTCCCCTTGCTCAGTCTGCTTACTGCCCCACACTGCCCCACAGTCCACAAAAGTCACGTGGAAACGAGCACGCAGGTGCCCACAGGAGCCAGGCAGGAAACTTCTGCCCACTCACGCTTTCTCATCCTGCATTTTCAGATTTGTGAAATGGTGGAGCAATCAGTAACCTCTGACCTGCAGCCTTATCTCCAAACTCTGCCAGGTAGGGTGCCCCCACTCACCCTGGACACTCTATTTCTGTACATTTTTGTGAGAGCATCTGTGTACCTAGTGAAGCATTAAATGGGATCAATGTCAAAATTAGAGCCAGCCTATCATGTACGGTGACATACTCTGCAGCTCTTCTCAAAACCCACTAGACTTTCTTCCTTTTTTAATTGCCAGAGAGCATGTGCACTCTCCAGAGAGAGACAGAAAGAAGTAGACAGAAAGAGAGAGGAAGAAAGCATTCCCCCAATGGGGCTCATCGAAATCCCTTCTCCTCCATTTCTCCATCATGTCAGGATCCTGGGCACATACACATGCACCTGTGCATTTGTAAGCTGCCAGAGCTGGGATTCAAACTGTGGTTGGCCATGTGGGATCTGGCTTTCTTTATCGTTGAGCTATGGGGCCAGCTTGGCTTTCTTGGTTCAACTTTAAAATATGAGGCCGACACAGTTCGAGTCCTGGACCTGGCTTAAAAACTCATGTCAGGCATGTGTGCATGCATGCCCAAAATCCTGAAAGGAGACTGGAGGAGAAGGGATTGTGGTGAGGCCATCCTCCCTGGGAGGTGATTTCTCACTTTCTGTCTCTCTTTCTTTGTCTCTCTGGTGAGTGCAGATGCCCTACAGCAAAAAAAATCTCTCTGTAAAAAAATGAGATTGATCAATATTGTTTCTATAGGGCAGTTCATCCCCACTCTTTGCTGTGTCATGTTCCACTGCTTCTGTGTCCCTCCACTTGTCTGTCCACCCTGCTATGGAAAGTCACATGGGTAGTTTCAGTTTTAGACCACAATGAGTAGTACTGTTATGAAGGTTCTAGTACCTAGGGCCGCATGTCTTTGGGTTTGTGCCTAGGAGTGAAAATGGAGGCTCACCTAGTGTGCATAGGGTCCGTGTTAATAGATCCTGCCAAACCATTTTCCAAAGTGGTTGTAGCAGACCTCACGATGTTCATAGCTGTGTCATGTTCCATCATATAGTTGGGTCTCCATTTATCTAGTAAGTTCCCAGCTGTGGTCAGCAGAGCTTCAGGGAGTGCCCCTATAAGAGCCTCTTTGCCCATGTGTATGGGTGTATCTGCAGAGTAACCATCTATGAGTGGAGTCCCTGGGCCCAAGGTACACACCTGAACTTTGAAGGGACAGTCCCCGGCAGATTGTCTATGACGTCTGATGCTTTGCCAACACGTGCCCATGTGGTTATTAAGGCCTGGACTGGCACAGCTGCCTAGTGCATAAGCCATAGAACATCCATTCCCCTAGGGCTTAGACAGAAGTGTCTAGGCAGTATGACATGCTTGGATTTCATGATTATTTGGCTCTGCAAGAAGCTGCAGGGCTAAACCTGGGCTCCTTCTGGTGTGTGTGTGTGTCTCCCTTGAAATGACCCAGACCCTAGCCTGAGCATAACACCCCATCACCATTAACCCACGAGGACCCATTGGTCTCTTTCTTTAAGAAGCAGTTCTCAATGTCTTCCTGATTCAATCTTAGTAGATTACATGTGTCCAGAAATTTGTCTATTTCATCCAGGCTTTCTTGTTTGTTGGCTTATAGTAGCTCATAGTATTCTCTGATGATCTGTAGTATTTCTGTTATGTCTGTTGTAATATCTCCTGTTTCGTTCCTGTTTTGATTTATCTAGCTCCTTTTTCTCTTCTTCTCAATGAGTCTAGCTAACAGTGTGTCAATTTTATCTTCTCAAAGGACCAGTTTTCGGTTTCATTCATTCTCTGTATTGTTCGTTTATACTCTATTTCATTTATTTCTGTTCAAATCTTTATTAATTCTCTTCTCTTGGCATTTTGGGATTTTGTTATTTTTCCAGTTCCCTGAGGTGTGTTGTTAGGTTGTCTATTTGCTACCTTTCCATCTTTTTTCTTACGCACACTAATTGCTATGAACTTCCATCTTATGACTGCTTTTGCTGTGTCCCGTAGGTTATGGAAACTTGTGTATTCATTATGCTTGGTTTCAATGACTCTTTATTTCAGTCTTAATTTCTTCAGTAGTTGTGAAGTCATTCAAGAGTAGGTTGTTTAGTTTTCATGTATTTGTGTACTTATGAGGTTTTTTTCTGAAGTTAACTTCAAGTTTAATTCCATCATGGTCAGAGAAGATGCTGGATATAGATTCTATGCCTTTGAATTTGTAAAGGCTTGTTTTGTGCCCTATTATGTGGTCCATCTTCTAAAAGTTTCCATGTAGGGATGAGGAAAATGTGTATTTTGTGGTTGTTGGTGGGAGGTTCTATAGACGTCAAGTCCATTTGATTCATGGTATCATTCGGATCCTGTATCTTTACCCAGGGCTGGACTGGGTAGTGGGTCTTTAGGCTGTGGGGTAGAGGGCACTGGAGACAGCTCCAGGACATGCATGTCAGCCAGAGCTCTCGCCTCTTCTCCACGGGAAGCAGGCCACACCTTCTGATTCTGTCCCTTCCTGGTTCTCAGTCACAGCAAAGATTGACGAATACATCGGCATCGACTACAGTTTAATGGAGCCCCCTCGGGCAACAGCCCAGATGCTGGACATGATGTTTAAGGTGAGGGTCCCAGAGCAGAAGCCTGGGGGGAGCCAGCTTTAGTGAGGTAATCCCTCAGGGTCAGCCCATTCCTGGGGTTGCCTGTCCCCCTAAATTCATTATCTGTCTTCCTCTCCTTCAGGCTTCCTGTGGTGTCAGGGCAGGGCAATATGGAGTGGTGGGGAGTGTTCCCAGAGCTAGAATTCTCCTATGAGTGTCTTACAACCCTTAGGTCTTAAAACTTCCCCTCCTCCTTGTGCCTCCTTCTTGGCCTGGCCCACCCTGCAGGGAGGTCAATGAGACCTGGCCTGTAGGAGCAGGGAGGGGCCTGAGGTGGTCTAAAAGAGCTGGCCAATACATCCAGTGAGTTAATAGACTAAGTTTCCAGGTAACTTTTCATTAAAAGAGCGCTTTGATGCAAGAGAAAAGATCTTTAATGGAGGTGTTCTGGGTAGTATCTTCGGTCACTGCCTCTCCATCAGCCTGGGAGGTGACTACCTAGTTCAGGTGTCCGCACCTGGGACAGACTTTGAAAAGTCCAATTCAACCCTATTTCTCTCTCCAGGGTGAAATTTTTAATCTTACCCACCGCTCCCCCGCTGCCTTCCGTGCTCCAGCCATGAACCTTCCTGAGGAACACGACAAAATGGTCTACTTTGCCGTCTCAGAATATGTTTTCAACACAGCCAGTCTGGTTTATCACGAGGCAGGATTCCTGAGCTTCTCAATCACAGATGACATGGTGAGAACGGTAGCTGTGCTCTCAAGGGACCACATAACTTATCTTTCCATTCCACTTCTAGGTACGTGGGTGAAACAGTTAAGTTATAGCCAAGGGGGAAAATCAAGATGAGAAACAATGTGTCAGCACAATTCCCCTTTTCACTTCCGCTGTCAAGAAGCTCAAAGCCAAATGTATTTCTCCCTTATAATTGTGGAAGACTTTGTAGCTAATTTGTTCATGTTTTCCTTTTCCCCTACTCTCAACCTATTATTCTAATTCATATTTTCTCTCTTTTTGATAATTTGTAAAAGTTTATTTTAAAATATTTTAGTGAATGAGGCAGGGTCATAGATAGACTGAAAAATGTATTAAAGTTACATAGAAAAGCAAATAAAGACCAAGTGAAAAAGGAAGCACAGTTATGAAGACAAAGCCCCAGAAATTGTCTTTTAAAATTACAAATTAATTTGGGAGCTTCCTTGTAACCCTAGTAAAAAGGCTACATTATTTAATGATTCATGGTGAAAGGGACGGAATTTTCCTAACACCTCTAAAACAACCGTCTCCAATCAGGTTTTATATAGCAAGATGGAACTTGATAGTGGGTCACATTTTCAGTATTTCTCTGGTTTCTTTACTATTTCTGAGTTTCAAAAGGTTGTTTTTGTGGGACCAGCAGTTATTGTAATGGCTATGTCACTGGACTCCCATGTAGTTGACCATGGTTCGAGTCCCCGACATGGTGGCTTAAACTCAGGCCAGGCGTGTGTGCATGCGTGCCCAAGATCCTGAGAGGAGAATGGAGGAGAAGGGATTGCGGCATGGCCATCCCCCCTGGGGGGTGATTTCTTGCTTTCTGTCTCTCTGTCTCTCTCTGTCT